GGACACGCTGCGGAGCAGTGGACGGACGCAGAGCCATCTGGTGCGTGCCAGGGACAGGAGGAGGACGCTGACGCGGACCACGACGACCAGTGCGAGCAGCACGAACAGGCGACGCAGGACGAGACTTAGGCTCACGACGCTCAGTAAGACCTCCGGTCGGACCAGTGTTAGGAGAAGGAGCAGGTAGTGGGGAGGTGGGCTGTAACTGTGAGTGCGACTGGACCGGCGGTGGACACTCTAAGGAAGGAGCAGGACCCGTAGAAGGCGGAAGACCAAGAACCTGCTGAAGGAGCGGAAAGTAGTACGGCCGCGGCCGCGCAGCTCCTCCAGAACCAGCAGGGACAGCACCAACACCCCCAGTGGCAGCACCTCCAACTCCAGCAGCACCACCAGCTCCAGCAGCACCTCCAGTAGCACCAGAAGCGCCAGCTCCAGCACCCCCAGGAGCACCGGCTCTAGCAGCACCTCCAGCTCCAGCACCTCCAGCTCCAGCAGGACCACCAGAAGCCCCAGCAGCTCCAGCCGCGCCAGGGCCAGCGCCTCCAGCAGTACCGGGTCCAGTAGTACCGCCAGCTCGAGCCCCAGCAGCTCTAGTACCTCCAGTACGAGCACCTCCGGGACCAGTGGCTCCATAACCCCCAGCAGCTTCAGCAGCAGAAGGACCTCCAGCGCCCGTAGCACCACCAACTCCAGCAGCACGGCTCCAGCGGCGAGCAAACCACTCGCGCAGCTGCTGTGAAGAGAGTGGCTCCCGCCGGGACGAAGCACCCGAAGGACCTCCAGGCGCAGCACCTCCAGACTCCACACGCGCAGGCTCAGCACCCTCAGGCTCCGCACCCCAAGACTCAGCACCCCCAGGCTCAGCACCCCTAGACTCAGCACCCCCAGGCTCAGCAACCCCAAACTCAGCACCCCCAGGTTCCGCACGCTCAGGCTCAGCACCCCCAAACCCGGCACCCGCAGGCTCAACACCCCTAGCAGCACCAAAGTCAACAGCTACCTCGACAGGCTCGACTGCGTCTACCTGGGACACACCTGAGGGGGCAGGACCCTGAGGGGGGAGGGGGTCTACCGGGGGAGGACCTGGCGTGAGGAAGAGCGGCGGGGGGGGGAGGTGGGCAGTGCGGTAGGGGAAGAGACGGTAGTAAGGAACCGACTCGTCAAACATGACGTCCTGAGAGGACAGAACACGGCGCGAGGTGGGGTGGTAAAACTGCCAACCAGGCGCGTCAGGGGGGAAGCCAAGGAAGACGTAGGGAACAGCACGGGAGGACAGCTTGTCCGCAGACAAGTCGCGGACGAAAGCTCGAGATCCCCAGACACGGAACGCAGACGCATCGCCAACCTTCCCCGTCCACCGCAGAGTAGGTGTGGTCTCCGGCACCGGGGACGAGGCAGAGTGAGAGACCGGGGAAGACCAGTGACAAGGACACGGGAGGTCATGCCTCGGAGACGAGGCAGGGAGGGGTGACCAAGGCGGTGGTGCCAGAGGAGAGTCTGGTGAGACAGGAGGCGACATGAGCAGGGGGCAGACTCTGGACTAGACCGGGACGCTGCAGCAAACACCTGACCCGACGCAGCTACCTGACCAGACTCAGCAACCGGAGGAGACACGGTAGACAGGTTGTACAGGCTCGACCCAGGCTGACGAGTGAACGTGGCCAGGTGCCGGCCCGTCCGAGTACACGAACAGTGGGTCACCCGCTGACCTCCAGGAGTGAACTGGTCAACCCAGGCGTCCTGAAGGGCAGCTCCACTCACCAAGTTCGTGGAGAACGAACAGACAGAGAGCCAGACAGGACCGCCGGACACGGCAGGACCGTGGAGGAGTGCGCAAGGACCAGACCCCCAGAGGGGTCAGCCAAAGAGACTGCCACCGGCCGACTGAGCGGCGAGAGTGTGGTGCAGTCGCGAAAGGAGCGGGAAGCACCCGCGTCAAGGGTGAAAGTGTGTAAGGCCTGAGCTACACGGTACCCGAGAGAGCAGACTCACCAGTACCTGGGGCAGCAGACTCACCAGCACCTGGAGCAGCAAACTCACTAGCACCTACTCTAGTGAGCAACTGTCAGTGTTGCAAGAACCTGCGCAACTACTCCTTGGCAGGTAGAAATACACCTGACGGTATTTTCACCTGATGGTATTTTCACCTGGTGGTGCCAACCTGGGACCACATACTAGAGTAGGTGCTTGCACGTTCTCCTTGAACAACGTTCTTCACTATGCTTCTCTATAAGTTTCATGTTGTTCTGCTGTAATATATCAATATAATCAATTATTCAATTCCGTTCCTTCAGTTACTGCATACCAACCTTGGCATCAGTCTTCGGTTTCCAACAAGTCTGTTTTCGGGTTACAAGCATCCACTTTGCAACTATGCGCCTAGGCTCTCCCACAATCGCCTATTCTCTGCACCGTCAACGCTAGCAATTTGGGCATAAACATATAAAAACCCTCCAGAATAGGCATGTCTTTCGAATAAGTCATCAACCCTAAACAACATGTCTTTTCCAAAGACTTCTATTTTTTTTTTCGATGGGAAGCTATCGATGGAGTCATTTACACTAAACACAATTCGGGAAGTGTTTAGGGTTGATACCAGGGCTGATTTTATCAGGGTAATTGCCCTGATTTCAAGGTGATTACAGACTTGTCAACTTGTGGTCCCTGCGATTTCAGAATTTTGGAGTTGTGAACACTGATCCATTTAGAATTGTGCTTTAGCGAACCTTGACATCTTGTATATAGGCTCAGAGTAGTGTTCTTACTGCCTCTGTCAATGTAGAGTGCGCGTCCTGTGGACCCTGAATGCGAGGGTATCGGCACGAAGGTTACTGAAAATTTTGTCCCATAACCCCCCATGTGCGTAATCATGACTTCGTATGCACCCATGTGAGGAACCCCTTTTCACACGGAGGACTGACGTAACATCGACAACAAACCCAACACCACGATGTACAGCATCGCTGTCAACTGTGACAGCGCAACCAGAAAATGATTGTTTGCTGCCATGCGCACCGCGCAATGCCCAGCATGACTCTGTCATTGGCCAGAGAGGCATCTTGACAGTCGGCGGTGGCAGGCAGACAGGCGTTAAATGTATTCGGCCTTGCATCAAAGCCCGAATTCATTAACGACTCGAGCCATCAAATTCGTGGCGTGGCGACGCGGATGTTTCTTGATGACTCCGCCATCTCCAACCTTCTCTTCCTTCCCCCTACCCCCAGCCAGGCTCGTGGAAGTGCTGCTGTATTTTTCATTTCGTCCGTTCTTCTTCCTTCCATCTCTCGTTCCACCTCTCTTCTATCTCGCCGCCATGGAAGGCCTGCCCGACGACGATGCTTCTCCTCTGGCTGGCCCAGACGAGCCACCTTTACCGGCAAAACTCACAGAGCCTACCTTGCCGGAGAAAGCTTCAGGTGCCCCCCGCTCTGGGCTGGATTTTCTTAGAACTAGCGGTGCTCCACTAACGCACGATCCTCCTAGGTCTACCGTTCACGACTCTGCAGTTAGAGTAACCGCCACTTCGTCTGACTCTCCCCATCCTGCCGCCTTCACTCTACCCCCGGCTGTTGCTTCTTGCAGTAAGGATCCCCCACCGCCCTCGCTGAGTCCAACTCCAAGCATGGTGCGGGTGTCCGTTGGTCCGCCGCCTGCTTCTTCCACTCCCAAGCGAGCGCGATCTGGGAAGTGGGCGCATAGTACCCTGGTCGTCAGTGGCCGCTGTGTTCCACAGCCTGATAAGCCGGCTGACCGTCCACCTAATGTCGCTGAGCTCGCGGAGGAAGGTGATATCCCAGTCCGAGCGAACACAGGCTCGCCCGCACTCACCAAGATGCAGCTGAGAGAGAAGATGTACCTGGAGGCGAGTATCAACTATGAGACAAAGTGGTCGGGCATGTTTTCGTGACTGGTGTTCGGGAAAACCAAGGATAAATTTCCCTATGTGAAGTGAAGCATCTGCATGTCGTACGGTAAGGAGAACACGAAGTACGCTAGGCAAGGAGATGACGGTGGCCGTGACTTGCAAACGCAGTTGTTCAGGGCGCACGAGCACACAGACGCACACACGGCGGCGGTGGATCGGCAGATGAAGATTGCACAGGGCATTCACGAGGGTCAGCAGGTGATTTTGGACTTCATCAACTCGGACATCGAGAGGGCGGCGCGCGATTCGACTCATGCGGTCGTTTCAGTTTCTGTGCCAGTGCGACGCGCCGATCAGCATGTTCCCGAAGCTGATGCGGCATCTTGCGGAGCAGGACACGCTTGACATTCCGCGGTATCCTACGGGGTCTATCTGACACGGTGTGTCCTTTGGTGTGTTGCTTTGTTAAGCAAGTCGCGTTTGCTTGTTTTGCTAAACAGTTAATAACCAATTTAAGTATTAACTGCGCAGGTACGGCTTCCAGCAGATGGTCCACAGCATCAGTGCTTACCTCAGACGGGTGCAGATGAACCACAACCTATCTTCCCCCTTCCTGGGCATCAGCTGCGACGAGAGCACCGACCGGACGCGAGGAAAACACACGATTGTTTCCCTGGCGTTTCTTTAGAATCGCATGCGAGTTCTTTACCATGCTGACGGTTGAGAGGTGTGATGTAGGGTCTCTGTTTGAGGTGCTGTTGAACCGACTCCGCTCCGCAGCCGTCGATGCGTCCAAGATTGTTGGCATCAACACGTCCTGCACCTTTTTTCATGTCACTGCATCGCCCACCGGTGTGTATGCTAATTGTTATGCATACCCATGTACGTGTGATTACTGTCCTAAACCTATGTTGAATTATGTCCCGTCAGTCCTACAGCGAGGCCTTGGCTGTGAAGGACGCTGCTGAGTCAAATCCGGACTTGGAAATGGTCGACAAGGTGGTGCGCACTGTGGCGACGCTGCTCGGAGCCTCAAGCATCTGGAGTCAACGGTTCAAGTAGCTGAAGCGAGTGATCTACAACACGAACCTTGAGGTCCAGGGCATCCACACAGTTTGCTGGCTGTCCCGAGCGGATGCGGTTCGCTGGCGTATGCATCGTGCTACTCTGGGAGCACAACCACAAGGCCTACGAGATTGTGACGTGCTACAAGTTCCCGTTTTGCCTGTTTTTCCTCGCCGACATTCTCGCGGACATGAATGACCTCAACCGTTGCTTCCAGAAGCGCAAGGTAAGACATTAAGCCACTGTGCGATGGCATGTGATTGCTAACTGCTATACCTGTTTCCGATGTCTGCACAACAGCTGGATGTGACAGAGATTGCGAAGACCATTGAGTTCACCACGGAGGATCTGACGGAGCGGTACTTGACGAACGGAAAACCTTTCGGAGGAGAGGGCAAGAGCTGGCTGTTCAACTTTCTCAAGCTCCACAAAGAGGGTGGAGGCAAGCAGGTCCGGGTGCAAGGCGTGGATGGGGAGGGACGCCCAATCAACCACCTCTACACCATGCACGAGAGGAAGCTGAGGGGGCACAAGCAGGGAAGCACCTACGCCGATTGCGTGAAGCTGTGCCGCAACTTCGCCCGGGATTGCGTGGACAACCAGAACGCCCGGCTGGACGACCTGGGGAAGCTGGGACCGACGAAGCTGTTCCGGGCGGGGAAGTGGCCGAAAATCAAGGCTCAGCGAGAGAAGAAGTGCCGTGAGTGGCTGCAGGGATGCAGCCAGCCTTTTCGCAACAAGCTACCTGGATTCGACCTCAAGGCAGCAAAGAGAGAACTCCCGACATTCTGTGCGATCATGGAGACACACCACGAGCTGGAGAGCTTCTCGCAGGGCCTGACCAACTTTCTCAGCAGTGCAGACTCCAAGAGGTATCGCTCTGCTCTGGCCAATGTTGTATGCGTATGTTGGTTTGGTTTAATATTTGTGCTCTTTGGGTGCTTGAATATGCCTGGCAGGAGATGGCCCAACCTCATCCTTCTGTGGCAGGCGCTCGTTGTGCTCCCCCTCTCCACCGTGGAGTGCGAGAGGGGTTTCTCCGGGCAAAACGTCATCTAGTCTTGGATGTGTGGAGCGCTCTACAACGCGCGACTGGGCGAGCTGATGCAGATCTCGTTCCTCAGGTATGAGGTCGACTAGCCGGAAGCACTGGAGGTCTGGAGGTCCATGCAGAGGAGGCGCCCTGCGAAGAGCCTGAAGCTGGCTGTGGCAGAGAGGGACTGGAAGGGCAAGCAGAAGGAGGACGAAGTGGCTGCTAGAGCTGCGGGGGAGAACGGGGATGAGGGGGAGGAGGAGGAGGATGAAGTGGAGCAGGACCTGGGCGACAATCAAGAGCTCGTGGGGGAGGAGGAGGACAACCCCTTCCTGTCGGACGATGAGGACGTGGAGGAGGTGTATCACATTGACATGCCCGTGCACTAGATAGTGTAGGATAGTTTCTACATGATGTATAAGACATTGTAAAGTGTAGAGCAAAAGTTAAAGTAACCCTGATCTTATGGTGTGAACCCTGACGAAACAAAGTAAGACTCTGTTGGACATTGAGCTATCAAAGTAGCTACCTTGTGGAAAATGTGCCCACATAATACAGGGGGAAAATTTTCCCCGGAATCATGGAGGCCCAAAATGAAACATCAGCCCTGGTTGATACCTTTCTTTATGGGGGTATATATTGTTTTAGCATGTAAAACACAAGAACGGTAGTTACTATTGTCTGTTTGTAGTTATGTGCCATGTGTGGACCAACGGATAAAAGAATGTGTTGAAAGCGCATTGTTTTTGCATTCTGAGTTAAACCCTTCGTCAAAGGCGACATACGTGCGCTTTTTGCCTACATTTTCAATTATCCTGCGCGATCAGCTGAAAGCCCTAGTATAAAGGTAGATCCAGGCAGTTCATTGGCGAGAGGTTTGTCCTGTTGTGGGACTCCATTTTATTTTTTCCAACAGGAGCCCGAACACTTACAAGCCATTTCTTTCCCGCTACTGTTCCTAAAAATTTTCAATCAATCATATACTACTTAGCCTACTTCCTTGTGTGAAATGCGTAGCACCCCACCCAAGCCTACTTCCTTGTTGCGTGAAATGCGTAGCACCCCACCCAATGCACATCACAGGATCAACGAGACGGCGACCATGGCAGTTGCCCAACTGTTAGCTGACACTCTCAAGCAGTGATTCGAAGATGGCATTGCCCTGATTCTGGGGTAATTTGGGAATGGATGGCGACGCAGCATTTGCAGACCAGTGGTCCCCTGCATTTATCAGGCACCCACGTCGGCGATGACGATAGCTAGCATGACTACCGAGAGGGCAGCGAGGGCAACACCAACGCCAACCTTAGTGACGGGGTTGAAGATGTAAACGGGAGATAAGTTTTGGCCCCGCCCTCGCTTGGGCAACGCCGACGTCTTGGTCGGATGTACGGGAGAAGCAGCCGACTGTTCATAGTGGGAGAGCTGTTCGACGGGCTTCGTCGAGTTGCCGGGGACCGCTGTGGTGTTGCTTTCGACCAGGGTGTCACAATAGCAGCACAAGTGGGGGCTAGATTTAAGTGAGGGCCTAGGCTTAGTAGCCTAAACCAAGGGGAGTCGAGTAAGTTGTGGCAAGGAGGACTGTCGAGAATGGTGGTGTTCACTATAGTACGAGGGTACATATAGCAAACAAATGAAGAGGTGCACCACCTACAAAGTTAATAACTACACTACAGCTAGGAACTACATGAAGTTATAACAACACAATTCTAACACATGGAGCTCGACAGCTGCAGCTGACTGGGCTGGGCGACGGGTGGATCATCGGCCAGGAGGAGCAGTTCGACTGGGAGGTCGACCAGAGCATTGCGTCGACCTGACAGGGTTTATGCTTGGGTTATGCTTATTGTGTTGTATCTAGCTTGGGTTTACTATATCATGCATAGATATGCTTGATTTCCTGGGTTAGGTGCATTCCTATATTTTATTATAATTATAGCACAGAACCAGGTTACGTGTACCAAACTCAAGCCTATTCGGTTTCCACCGAATTGCTTTCTACTGAGTTCGGGAAGGTTCTGTTCGAAACGCTTCGCGACCCTCAAAACATTCGCGTAACACCTGAGTAACTGGCCTTGCTTCGAGACGATATATAGCCTCGTGTTGTACCTAGGTGAATCATTCAATTACAGCTCTCTTTTCTGAGCTCGATCCTAGATCCGCACACTTGGTAATCAGAGCCGTTTACACGAGTTTTTCGACCAACTAAAACCAAGTCTTGAAAAAACCGCTGGGGCGACGACTGTTAAACACGGATTTCGGGTACGTAAAACCGGTTCCGTGTTTTTCACTCCCCCTCGATTTTGGTTTTCGAACGCGCAATGTCAGGCATGAAGGGCCAAGGCCACAACTACGCGACGACGAGCGACATCGCCAGCCTTCGCACCGACGTGGAACAGACGCAGGTGGCAATTTGGCGAATCGAGGCCCTTCTGACAAACCAATCCGTAGCCGCCACCACAGCAGTCAATGCAGCAGCGAACGTAGCAGCAATGGCAGCAGCAGCAGCGACAACACCGACAATTCACGGACCAGTGGTGCCACCCTCGTCGAACCTCGAAGCAGCTCGCCCGAGGCTCCACGAAGCGTTCGATCCAAGCGAGAAGGGGTCGGACGTTCGACAATTTGTGGCGACCCTCGAAATTTACTTCGAGGCCATTGGCGGTTCGACCCCGACACACGGCGCAAACAGGATTTGGCTCCCAGCGACACTATTGCGAGGACCAGCACTTGAGTGGATTTACTACGGTGACGTGGCCCCGGGGGAGAAAACGTGGGCCCAGTTTCGGGCAGACATCATCGAACGTTTCGAGCCAATTAATTCGGTGTACATGGCGCGGAAGCAAATTCACCGACACAAGCAACTCGTGGGTGTAGCACTGTATGTCAGAACACACACGGAGGCTCCCCTGCAGACGCTTCACATGGACGTGTGGGGCCCAGCCCGCATCCGTGGCCAGGGTCACGAGCGCTACTTTCTGCTGGTCGTTGATGACTACTCACATTACACCACAGTCTTCCCCTTGCGCCGCAAGGGTGAGGTCACTGAGGTGCTGATCGACTGGATCCGCGCTGCCCGTTGTCAGCTCAGCAAGAGTTTCGGCTCGGACCTTCCTGTTCTGCGTCTGCACTCCGACAGAGGTGGAGAGTTTTCCTCCGACCTCCTGCGGGCCTTCTGTCGTGCGGAGGGCATCCGCCATACGTTCACGCTTCCGGCCTCTCCGCAGCAAAACGGGATTGCTGAGCGCCGCATTGGCATGGTCATGGATGTCGCTCGTACGTCCATGATCCATGCGGCTGCTCCCCATTTTCTGTGGCCGTTCGCGGTTCAGTACGCGTCGCATCAGCTCAACCTCCAGCCCCGGGTCTCCATGCCGGAGACCACACCTACTCTGCGGTGGACGGGGAGGGTTGGCGATGCGTGTGCGTTCCGTGTCTGGGGATCTCGAGCTTTCGTCCGCGACTTGTCTGCGGACAAGCTGTCCTCCCGTGCTGTTCCCTGCGTCTTCCTTGGCTTCCCCCCTGACGCGCTTGGTTGGCAGTTTTACCACCCCACCTTGCGCCGTGTTCTGTCCTCTCAGGACGTCACGTTTGACGAGTCGGTTCCTTACTACCGTCTCTTCCCCTACCGCACTGCCCCCCTCCCCCCCCCGCCGCTCTTCCTCGCGCCAGGTCCTCCCCCGGTAGACCCCCTCCCTCCTCAGGGTCCTGCCCCCTCAGGTGTGTCCCAGGTAGACGCAGTCGAGCCTGTCGAGGTAGCTGTTGACTCTGGTGCTGCTAGGGGTGCTGGGCCTGCGGGTGCCGGGTCTGGGGATGCTAAGCCTGAGCGTGCGGAGCTTGGGGGTGCTGACTCTGGGGCTGCTGAGCCTGGGGGTGCTGAGTCTGGGGGTGTTGAGCCTGGGGGTGCTGAGTCTGGGGGTGCTAAGCCTGGGGTTGCTGAGTCTGGGGGTGCGGAGCCTGAGGGTGCTGGGCCTGCTCGCGTGGAGTCTGGCGGTGCTGAGCCTGGAGGTCCTTCGGGTGCTTCGTCCCGGCGGGAGCCACTCTCTCCACAGCAGCTGTGCGAGTGGTTTGCTTGGCGCTAGAGCCGTGCTGCTGGAGCTGGTGGTTCTATGGGCGCTGGAGGCCCTGCTGCTGCTGGAGGTCCGGCTGCTGCTGAAGCTACTGGGGGTTCTGGAGCCACGGGTCCCGGAGGTGCTCGTACTGGAGGTACTGGAGCTGCTGGGCCTGGTGGTGCTGCTGGAGCTGAAGCTGTTGGAGGTGCTGGAGCTGGCGGTGCTGCTGGGGCAGGTGCTGCTGGAGGTACTGGAGCTAGAGCTGCTGGCGCTACTGGGGCTTCTGGTGGTCCTCCTGGAGCTGGAGCTGCTGGAGGTGCTGGAGCTGGCCGTGCTGCTGGAGCCGGTGCTCCTGTGGGTGCTGGAGTTGGCGCTTCTGGTGCTGCTGGAGGTGCTGCTGGAGCTGGTGGTACTGGTGGAGTTGGAGCTGCCACTAGGGGTGCAGGTTCTGTCCCTGCTGGTTCTGGAGGCGCAGCGCGGCCACGGCCGTACTACGTTCCGCTCCTTCAGCAGGTTCTTGGTCTTCCGCCTTCTACTGGTCCTGCTCCTTCCTTAGAGTGTCCACCGCTTGTCCAGTCACAGTCCCAGTTACAGCCTACCTCCCCACTGCCTGCTCCTTCTCCTTACACTGGTCCGATCGGAGGTCTTGTTGAGCGTCGTGAGCCTGAGTCTCGTCCTGCGTCGCCTGTTCGTGCTGCTAGCACTAGTCGTCGTGGTTCGCGTCAGCGTCCTCCTCCTGTCCCTGGCACGCACCGGATGGCTCTGCGCCCTTCCACTGCTCCATAGCGAGTCCCTCTGCCGTCTCCTCCTGCGTCCTCTCTTCCTACCCTTTCTGACCCGGAGTTTGACTCCCTTCGTGCTGCTAGTCCTACTGTCACGCGTCTACTGGCCACTGCTGTCAGTGACCCTTCCTTTGAGTCCACTGCTGCGTCTGCCTTAGTTGCTGAGCTTGTCGAATTTGCTGCTCACTGTCGTCTCGACTACGCCGCTAGTCTTGTTGCTGAGTCTGAGTCTGTCTGTCCTCCGTCCGTCGGGGGTGAGTGTGCTCTTGGCACGGACGTCCTTGAGGACAGGCAGGAGGACTTTGAGTGCTTTGCAGCTGCTGTACCTCATCTCGTGTCCATGCTGATTGCACCTGAGGGAGACCCGGATGCTCCAGACATCCCGACCCCATGCTCTTACGCAGAGGCGATAGAGGGTCCCTACTCCTCTCAGTGGCAGTCAGCCATGGACGCAGAGATGGCATCCTGGAAGTCAACAGGCACCTACGTCGACGAGGTTCCCCCTCCTGGGGCGAACATCGTCAGTGGCATGTGGATTTTCAGGGTGAAGCGGCC